GGCCCCCGGCACCCCCCGGTCTGTACCGGCTGCCGGGGCGCTCCCCGCCGCGCCGGGGGCCGTGTCGTGCTGAGCCGGCACCTCTCCTTCTCCCCAGGTCTACTCGGCTCTCCAGTGGATACAGTTCACCATGGCCATGCTCAGGTACAGCGCGTCCCCGGGGATGCCAGCACGGAGTTACTCTTGCCACGACGATTTTCTCCGGAAAAAGAGAAATCGCTTATCCCAGATGTGCTCCTCTTCCAACCCCTGCTTTGTTTTCTCAGTGTTATAGGTTCCAGCTCAATTATTGCCTACGCCGTCTTTCAGAATGCGGTGCGGTCCCCCGAGGTAAGGACTGCGCCTCCTTTTCCCTCCCGAAGTCGAGGTGTCGGTACCTTACAGGTACCCGAAGACCCAGCTGGGTCAGGCGCTCCCGCCAGGAGCAACTGCAGGTCTTGGGTTTACGCGGTTAAACCTTAACAGCTGGGAGGCAAAGGGCTTGCAGAGAGTTTGGCCCTTTGTCTGTGGTAGGCGTTGAAGGGACTAACCTTGAATTGCACCCGCGCGGGGAGAAGCAGGTTCCTTAGCCCCGCGCTTTCTCCCGGGAAAGTCCTCCAGTCGTTCCTCAGGAATGAGGATTTGTTAGCGTGTCCTCCTCTGTGGGGCAAAACGCCTGGAGGGCTGAGGAGCTGTGTACACAGCTGCGGAAGTGCACGTTGGAGGTGTAGGAAATGTATTTACAAGCGTCCATCTCTGAGGATCTCCGAGCAGGTTTTTCTTTTTCCAAGCAGGTGCACTACTAAAACTGATGCAAACTCAAAGATGCTGTAAAGAGGACGAGGCTGAAAAGCTGTTTGTTAGCTGAGCTCCGCGGTGGGGCTTTGGAAGATTTCCCCCTGGCCGCGCGCAGGAGCCGCGACCATTTCTAATGCATTTCTAATGAGCTCGGGTGCAAACCTCCCTCGCGGTGGGACTGTCGGCACGTGCACTGCAGATGCGACACGAACGCAGTGCCTGGCACGTGCTGAGCGCATCACACGTGCAGGTTGTGTGTGCAGGGAACCCGGTGCGTCTGGGATCTATCAGCCGTGCCGGTATGTGCGCAGTAACCATAGAACTCCATCCCAAACCTGCCAGGCTTTTGCTGTCCCCACGCAGTCCCTCTGTCTGTCCAGGACTTACCGGAGGCGGTGCACAGAGGTGATCCGTGTGAAGCTGGGGTTCGTTGTCCAGGATTTGCAGCTTATCTGACAGCCCAGTTCGTGGACCACACAGATAACGGGTTACTGCTAAGAGCAGTGGGACAGTAGAGCCGTCAGCCATGTGGTAACAACCCTGTATTTGTACTTCCCTCGTCTTCAGTGTTCTTTGTACATCGTGGGTTTGATCTGCAGTCCAGAGAACAGGATTTCCAGGGAATACAGTGAGTTATCCTCAGAGGAGGTGGGCGTGCAAGTCAAGCTAACAACTGACGCCTGGTTGGATGAAGGAAGGTGGGGAGGAGAACATGAGTCCAGGTTTGCAGGGCAAATCTGCACCGCTTAGAGTGCGCAGGGCAGTCTCCTGGGAACGCTCTGCCCAGCGCAGTGAGAAGGACCCGCGGAGATGTCCCTGCATTCCCCGGGACGAATAAAGGCTGCGACTTCACCTTCGTGCTGGGATGGAAAACCCTTCCTGAGCTTGTGCTGCACAAGGTGCACATCAAAGGGTCCCTCTACCACATCTCCCGCACCCGGAGAGCTCCAGCCAGGTTTCTCTCCTGAGGTCCTCCTCTCTGGTATGATACAGAACTGGGTTTGGCAGATGTCCCGGTGTGACTCAGCAGCCTCAGCCCATTTACTTCCATGGCTAGCAGGAGCCCTTGTGCTACTAGTCATATGATGGGGTTGTGGCTCCGGAGCTGTCCTCTAGCTGCTTGTGAGCCACACATGGCTCCAGGTCACAGATGGACCTTTCCTGCTCAAGGGAGTCCAGATGTTTCTGCTCAGATTATTGCTGCAAATCCGGATAGGAGGGATGGATACCAGCTGGAGCGACTCCTCTGCATCGGGCTTCCACGCTCGTGCTCTGCTGCCAGGGGAGATCCATCGCTGGTGTTTCAAAAGCGGCAAAATCTTCAGTAACTTCCCCATCGCTTTGTCCCTGTGCTTCTGGTCGTAAGTGGAAATTTGTAAACAAAGGGGCTGGAAGAGATCCGTATCAAAGCTTGCCACAAACAGCTTATTCCCCGAGTCATGAGGCTGCAGAGTAAAATGTTTGAAAATAAACAGTTCTGGAGGCTGGGAGGAGAGCAATGTTATAAACACTTCCCCTCCTGCCCCCAGCCTAGGAAATCACATACTGCATTCTTGGAGCTTGTTTTCTGTCCCTACGGGGTCAATAAAACTCTTCAGCCTGAGCTCAATCATTCAGCGGAGATGATGGCAAGCAACAAACAGTGAATTTCCTCTGTCATGTCAACAGGTTCTGCGCAGGCAGATGTCCCTGAGCAGTGGCCAGTGGCCAAATCAACACGTATGCTCCAGCCTGGCAGCTCATCGGAATCATTACGTCTTTACAGTCCCTTCCTCTATTTTATAAATACCATTTGTTGGTTTGGGTTTTTTTTTTTTTTTCTTTTTCCTTTTGCAAGTAAGAGCCGCGCTGCCTTTCGCTTACCACTGTGTCACCTACTTCTTGATTTAGGTCTGTGCCAAAATAACTCCTCGACCAAACGGCGGTGCCTTGCTCCAAGGACACTTGTTGCTAGAGAAAGGGGTCACCTGTTTGATTGCAAAAGTTGCTGCTTTGCTCATTTCGGAGCTGCTTGTTTTTAAACCTGCTGTGCTCGCAACGGTGTCCCCAGCCTCTCGTGCCTATGACTGCCAGCCGCGGCTTCAATTCTGCACCAACAAGGAAAAAAACTGGTTATAAAAGGCATTTGTAAATGCAATGAGGTGCAAACTAGCTCCAGATGTTTAGTTAGCAGCAACAGTTCGATTTACGGTGTTGCTGGGTTGGATGGGACAAATATGGAACTGGAGAGACAAGGTTGAGGAGACAAATCCTGCAGAAGGCAGAGGACCTGCCGCGCTGGCGCGTGGCTGTGCAGGGACCAGGAACACACCAG